TTTTTTTTTTTTTCAGCCGTGGATGCACCACCACTTCGCATCATTCTCGATGTTCAGACACACCTTCTTACTTCGTGCCGTAAGCTTCAATACCATCTCATTTGTCTTGCGAAGGCAGCTTCCAATGAGAATTATGTCATCCACGAAACGCAAATATTTTACCAGTTCGTCATTAATGTCTAAATCAACTTCCAATGCAGCGTCCGAAACACCAAAAACATGGGTGATATGAGACTGCCTTGCTTCACCTCCCTTTCGATTGGTTGCAGTTGAAGCAAAAAAAGTATTTTGTCAGTCTATGTTCAAATTCTTTAAAAAAATTATGGAAATTACTAATCTGTATAACCCAATAACGGACTGAAAGTATTGGTTTTTCACAGTGCGCGTCCTGGTGATCGTGGTGCTCTTGGTAATTAATTTGCGATTTTAAAGCCAGTTTGGACTCTTTTGCAGTTTGCATACATACATAGAACACACGTTCCCCCTCTACTCATGGAAAAGATATATCTCTCTTCTCCTTTTTCACAGACACTTGCTGACGCGGTAAACTTTTGTGCCCACCGAAGTCAAGCTCCTGCATTTCTAGATTTTGGGTTGGGTTCCGTCCGAAATTTGAAATCATTGAATGTGCTTAAATTTTTGCTGTGAAAGCTTTAACCGCAAATCTCTTAATGCAATAACGTTATCTCTTAATTAAATTTAGAAATTCATCCCGTGTCTTGGCATCTTCTCGGAAAACGCCCATCATGCAGCTTGTCGTCGTTATAGCATTAATTTTCTGGACACCTCGCATCACCATGCACATGTGACTAAAATTTTGGTGCATTTTACTTTGACTTTCATATTCCAGAAATTATCGATTATTCCAGTGGCAAGATCAGAACAACTATAATGAAAATAGTAAAAAATACCTTGCTTCGATGACAACGCCGACGCCGAATGGCTGGATTGCTTTTGTCAGCGCTGCTGCTATTTGTTTTGTCAAACGTTCCTGCACTGGAACAACCACCTTTCAGGATAGAACTAAGCTCAAATTCTTCTTCCCAAACCCACTGTGTGTAAAATCCACCCTTTCAGCAACCGGCAATCAGACTAAAAATGTGCACTAGGTAGTAAAGCTGTCAGCAGTTTCTCCACGGATTAGTTGAAATGCAGGATGCATATCCCACCATGTGAAAAGTCAAAACCTCTTCCGTATTTTTTCTCCATGAGGGGCGTAGACATTCAGGGAGTAGTCCGAATGGCAGCAAATGCCATCAGCAACCATCCGCTGGCAAGGCTGTCGATAGCTGCTTCTTTCTAGTATTGCTTACAAACAAAGTAGTGGCGGGTTTGGCTTCGCGGCGTGTATCAGTGCCAATTTATCATCGAGACAAATTGTAAGGAGACTGACATTGTGAAGTCATGAAAATACAGGGCATGCCCGCAGCGATTTATTGTTCAAAATCGCTGGCTGTACCAAATAGCACGGCTACAAAATTAGACAGCATCTACGGTCAATATTCACAAAATATTGCTTATGAAAATGCTGCTGCATCGTCCGTCAGCTGCAGATGCTGCAGCACCATCCATTAACTGCAGCAGCTTGAAAATGCTTAATTTGGTGCTGCTTGTTCTCGGTTAAGTCGAGTTTGGACTTTGAAAAGCACTGCATAGATTCACTGCGATAGCGCATTTTGATGCATGAAGTCAACCTGATGATTTGACCCTGTAAACTATTCATTTCACACGACACACCAGGTGAATTGCGCCCCATTCCACGTTGATTTGTTTCGACACTAAAGTGATACTGGCGCACCTAACGTGACCATTTGCCAGTTCAGAGCCCAAGCAACCGTTAGCCCGCTTTTTAAAGTCTCAAAAAAATCTTTTGACAGTGGTGACTGTATTCGTAAAAGCACCGCCATCGGGATTACAGGCACGCGTTTCCTTCTCATTCAGAGTGTAGAATAAAAAGCACAGCTTTCAGCTGTGAGAAAAGTTTCGCATGTGTATTGAACGAAACAGCATTTGTAGCAACTGTGCCGTAGTGCAAATGCACTTCAGACAGATTTTTTTAAAAAAAGATTTTTTATCCTCCAATCATAAATATTCCGTGGCTGCTACGAAATTGACTAGTGCACTACTGGCAGAAGTTTGCCTGCTCTTTATTACCTTGTAAGCGCCTGCTGAACATCTCAACGATTCGCGCAATCTTACTGAGACCAAGGACTTTTTTGTTGGGAATGTAACCAATGTGCGCTTTGCCAGTGAAAGGGACCAAGTGGTGCTCGCACAATGAAAATATTTCAATGTCTTTTACGATCACCATGTCATCGTGATCCTCATCGAACACCGCCCCGTTTATCAAATCTGCAAATAGCTACAGCATTAGGTTGACAATATTTCAGTACTATCCCGTAATCATACTTAGATCCGTTACTACACCTTCAAATTAAAAACAGCATTTCTGAGGTTATCTATTCGCCAAAGCAACACGCCGCATAATGCGCCTTGTGCCAAAAACAGCGAACTCTAAGAGAGAATTCATCTGCATAAGCAGCCATTTTATTATAAAATCAAGTGTAGGTGGACATTAATTATGCGTTTTTGCATATATGCAAATGCAAAAACGCATATTGGGAAGAGACTCTCTGTGTACGTGTTTGTTTGTTCGCACTTTTTGTCAACCAGAAAAGCTAGAAGGCTGAAACTTCGGGAGTACGTGTTCACCACCTGTGCGACCCTCCCGTTTTAATATAATCAACGGCGTACGCCTCGGTGCCATGTACGGACACCTTAAAAAAAGTATGCAAATTTTTTGACGAGAAATCGATCTTGGGAACCAAACAAGATAGAGAGCTGAAACTTTACAGGGAATTCTGTGTGCATGTGTGAGCCAAAGATTTCAAATTCAGCTTCCAGGTATGTATGGTATACATGTAAGGGCATACGAAATTTTTGGCGGAAAAATTGCTAACTCGAGAACCAAAAAGCTAAAAGGCTGAAATTTTGAGAGAATGTTCCCTGTCCAAGTACAACTTAAATATTTCAAATTCAGCCTTC